ATCAACCCCGCTGACGGGTGATTGCTGTGGCAAAAAGATCGATAGAAATAGCTAAGAGACGTGCGAAACAAAGGACCCGCATGGTGTGGTGGTGAACGCGTTACTATCCGAAAAGGATAATAGCGCGTTCGTTCCCCACCATAGACACCTGCGGTCCAGAGTTTTGCAAATATCTCAGCAACGTTGTGGTAGTACTAATTGGTTTAAAACTTGTAGTATCAGCATTGTTGATCTTATCAGTTTCCGGCGTTTCCTTCAGTAAACCGAGCTAAGAGTAAACCAATACCAGGATCTGCCACCGTCCTGATATCAGACTAGTTGCATGGTGGCAAATCTCTCTTTGATCCACAAGGGCGACGACTGCCTGTGGCAGTGACGACCCGGGGTAGACTTTGGCTTGGCTGACCTTGGGACTCCAGGAAACCACGATAACTGAAGCAGCAAACTTAACCTTTTTTATTTACTGCCTTTTTTTCTTCTTAATGGCAGGGTATGTTGCGAAATATAACTCATATGAAATGCTGAGATATTTGCAAAACTCCGGACCGCAGGTGTATGCAGTGGGGAACGAACACGCGCTATTGCATACATCATACACCTGTTGATCTTGTCAGTTTCCGGCGTTTCCTTCAGTAAAGCGAGCTAAGAGTAAACCAATACCAGGATCTGCCACTGCATATACCTGCGGTCCGGAGTTTTGCAAATATCTCAGCATTTCGTACGAGTTAAAGCATCAAAGCTCAGAAACAATGGAAATTATGCTGGGGCCCGCACAACTAGTAAAGACGGACCATCCAAGTATCCAAGTAAGTAGGTAATGCGTATATAGCGGCATTAACGTGTTAAGATGTTAAATAGCGTTAATACATTAAATAATCTAGGAGGAACTTGAGATTATACAGAATGCTTTAACTTGTTAAGATCTTGCTAATTTGTGCCGAGATAACCTATTTTCAGGGAGGATTCGCGGAGTGTTTTGCGGTGAGGTCTAATCTTGTCACAGGACAATTTGCGTTGAAAGTAGTCGAGAAAGCGAAGCTCAAAGATCCTTCCTATTCGAAAATGCATAGAGAAATCAGTTTGCACAGGCTAGTTTTTTTTTAAATTTGATGTCTACACTGCAATACAAATTTTGCGTTCACAATGTTAATTTTTTACTTGCCGCGCATTATAATTTTTCACGGTAAGGCATTATATGTGAAACACAACCGTAGCGATGCTGAGATATCTGTAAAACTTCGGACCGCGGGTATCTCCGGTGGGGAACGAACACGCTATTACCTTTCATGAGGCTAACACGTTGACCACCATACCATGCGAGTCCTTCGTTTCGCCTGTCTCTCAGCCAGTTTTCTTTTTTGTTTTCATACTTTCAGTCATTAGCACTTAACAACTGTTTCCGACCGTTGGTTAGTAGGGGTTCTTGTGAAATTGGTAGTGTTCTATACTGAATCTTCTGAAAGATTAGCGATATTGTTTGGTTCTTTCAACTGTTATTTAGTTACTGTCCTTATATGCACTATTACTACTATTCCTTTTTTATTTATAGATAATAAAGGGCTTTTGCATTAAAGAGACGGTTGAGCGAAAGGGAAAATTGGGCGTCGAAAAGGAGTGTGCACGGTTTTCTAACCATGAATTTTTCCATAACTTCCTAATCTTGTATTATTTCAGATCAGTCTGTCATCCAAATATAGTGCGTCTGTTTGGAAGTTTCCAAGATGGCCACTACTTTTTCCTTGTCATGGAGCTGTGCCGTGAACAAACACTTCTCACTCTAATCAATCAGAGCAAATGTAAGTCGTCACTGAACATTTCCTATCTTTGTCTTCAAATAATTCCTTGGATAGTCAGAATCCGTACTACTTTGCGTAACTGGCACAACGTTTGTCCATGTTTGTATTCTGTTGTTCCATGTTTGTGCAGAATAATCGAGGCGGTTCTCTGCCATTCCTTATTGACATTTGTGAATGTGCTGGTTCACTCTTATATAATTCCTTCATGGTTCGCTTGTAATTGTCAAGTAGTTCACAAATGATACGTGGGTTAGATGAAAAGAACGTGTCTAATCCTTTCAGAGGAAACAGTGTGCGCTATTTTCAAGTAGGAGTGAAGAAATGGAATCAACACTTATTTAGAAATATCTAGTTTATTAGTAGGAATCGGGAAATTTCCGTTCTCAGCAAAATGCGTAGTCTGGTTCCGTTTGAAAACACCCGGATTTAACATGTATCTAAGACATCAATGCATTTAAATAGGAAATTTGTTGCTGCATTCAGTTCTGAAGTAAGCAATAGGCATGTCTCAAGAAAATAGAAAAGGCATTTTACCTTTTTCTGGTGGTGGACTTTATAAACCCACGGTATTCCGCAGATCTGATCTTGTCATAAGACTACACATGTTCCGTCCAAGAAAGATTACCTAATTTTAATGGGACGCTCGCATATGGCCGAGATCATACGAGGCCGAAACGCGTAGTAGTAGTCCCAAATTGGAATCTATTTTTTCTGCAAGGTGTCCAGGCACGATCAACCCTTGAGGGACGCGTCATGTACCTGCCTATATTAAGCATTGTAAAGATGACTTGATGCATATTTAGCCTATACAATCCTCTCATCCTCCATCCTTTCATCCTCTCAAATTTTTTGATACCAATTTACTGACGCTAGAGGAATGCAGGGCTGGTGAACCCGGGTCACGAGATCGCACCAGCGACTGATACTGGATGTGCTCCAAGACAGTTTTAGCCACTACTATTAACACGGTTTGACAGAGCGCTAGAACTTTTGCGTTATCTGTTTCATCATCTCTGATGGGTGGAATTTCGCTCCTCTAACGATTTCGCTTTTCAAAACACGAGCATAGACAGAAGACAAATCGTTTCGTTCAAAGTTTAATTAAAGTTCGTTTAATGTTGGAAATCCAAAATACTTTCGGCAACATGTGAGTTCTACATGATTGATATCGTCCAGAATGTTTTAGTAGCTAACATTTCCATGACGTTTATGTGGGTGATTTTGAGCAAAGCGTAACAACCGCTAAATGCAAAGCGCTCTTTCAAGTATTTTTAGCCGTTAACATTATGAGACACTTGAAATGGTGCGTGTGGAGCAGTGGTCGGAGGAGCCCTGGGATACACATGGGATCGATCCCAGCGCTCAGGGCACACTAAGCCTTTCATCTCTCCGACGTCAACAAATCGGTACCAGATTTGTCTAGAAGGATAGCAGCATTGGCTTGATGCATCGGTAAGCCGCTGCGAGTCATTGTAAAGGCCAGATATGCTTTAAATCACCTCTAACGATGCTTAATGAAGTCGAATGCATGGCGTATCCTTAAGGGATTGGCCAACGCCAAGAGCTTCATCCTTTATTCCTTAACGTCGTAGTGGTCTTCTACTGTTACTGTTCAGATTACCGTCCTCATCACGATGTGATATGAATGACACCTCCAATCAAAAATAACCAAATACGTTCCTCATTCACCGTGGTATCTTCGCTATTTTGTCCTCCGAAAAGGAAAGCGATAGCGAAGGGATCTTTGCGTTTATATTTGTACACTTAGTTCTGTCCTCATGTGTGGTGCTTTCACGAAGAGACATGTCTCCGTGTCATCGTGTCCAGCGATAGTAGGCTTAATGGAAAAATCGTCTATAAGGATATTGTTTGTAAACTATTATTTGCAGAATATAACTTCTCTGTGATAAAATTTGTGCACCTGGAATGGAATAGTTATCGATTTAGTACAAATTGTGTAGGAGGACAAAAACTCTATGGGGCAAAAGAAGCGACTGAGAATAGAATGCATTGAAGTCAATGCGTGTCGCTGTGGATGCGCTAATTTTAAATTTTGATGTTCGTCGTAGTTGATTTCCTGCTTTACAGGTGGTTATTTATCTGAATGCGAAAGCAGAGGTTACATGGTGGGAATTCTGTCAGCTGTAAGATATCTTCTCGAAAAAAATATTCTTCACAGAGATCTTAAGCCCGGAAACATTTTGATAGGTTTCTTAGCATTGTTTTTCTTAACTCTACTGAGCAGTCATTTGTCATCTATATTGTCTTAGGATCTGACGAACAAGTTAAACTAGCAGATTTCGGGCTAGCTATTCTTATGCAGGACTTGAATCCAATGAGTGTTAGTGGAACACCAAATTATCTTGCTCCGGAGGTAAGTGCTGTGAACCCTCGCTTAATAAAACACTTCAACTTTCTCTAATCTCTTATTTCAGATTCTTATGAAGCGTGGTCATTCTGAATTCAGTGAAGTGTGGTCAATCGGCTGCATGCTGTACTGCATGCTAATTGGGAAGCCTCCATTTGAGTCGGAAAGCCTAGAGGAAACATACGCAAGAATCCAGACTGGTCAATACTCGTTCCCAACGTCGACCAAGATTTCCTGTGAAGCGAGAAACCTCATCGAGGGGTTTGTATCTTGATGCCTTTATTTATCTAATGAGTAGACATAAGTTTTAAGGGGATCGAGTTTCTTTATCCTACACTTTAGGGGGAAAAGGAGCATGAGAAACCGATATCGCCAATTGATTTATGTAACGATTATTTCAGTTGTTTAATACACTCAGCCAATTTCCGTCCGAGCATAAGACAAATGCAAGAACACCCTTGGGTAACTATGAATAATACCGTTTCGAATGTGCTATTGAGGTAAATATTCTATTTTAAAGAATTCTGGTTTCTTACTATCTGTGGAGCGCCATGCTCTGTGTACTAGAGGCTAGTTCTTCGACAACTGGAGGTAATTCCTTGATTGCAAAAGCAGTTGAGCTGAGGATTATATGTTTATAATATAATGTTTATAAAAGTCTTATCTCACTCTTACTTACTTACTTACTTATCTTACTTTATCGCTTTCAAACCTAAGTGGTTGGGCGAGTGTGGCGCAGTGGTCGGAGGTGCCCTGCAGTACGCATGGTATTGATTCCCGCGCCCCTGGTCCACCAAGCCTTCCATCCCTCCGAGGTAGGCAAATTGGTACCATGTCTGGGAGAATAGCGGAAATGGCTCAATGCATCGGCAGGTCACTGCGAGTTATTGTATGGATCAGATTTGCATTCAAGTCATCTCTAATGATGCTTAATGAAGTCGAATGCATGTTGCGTCTCTAAGGGATTGATCAACGCCGATGGCTTTATCCTTTATCTTTTCACTTTTTGAGACATTCAAAAGTGAATTTAAAATTTTTGCTTTCTCCAACGCCATCACAGTCACCACCAACATTAAGAGCACATTGGAGAACACCGTCGTCTGCTGATGTGTGGAACCGCTCTTAATTAATACGTTTCACCTTCGAAACGGGAACATTGACCTAAAAAAGTGATTAAAGGTTCCATGGACACTAGAAAATCGGAATTTCGCTTTTGTCGGATAAGAAAGCTTGATTTTATCTCAATTAGTAAGGTTCAGTACGAACATGTTGGTTTGACGTTGAGAGAAGTCAGTGTTTTACACCCGAATGTATGCATGTCGGGCGTTATGTGTTAGATCTATTACGACATATTTGCTATCTCTGATAATATTTTTGACCATCAGAACTAAAAGTCTGAAAGATTTGTCAAGACAAGATGTGAATGGGAATGTCCTCTACAGTACACATCCACATCGACCTCGTTCGACCATAGATCTCGCCTCACCATGCGGTAATAAGGTTCGTAGAATTGTCATTTCTTAGCACTTTACTCTTTTTCACTTCCTAAAGTCATTTTGGATTACTCATTTTATGCATGTGTTTATTGGATTTCTATTTATTCAGTCTCATCGTGAGTCAATAGTGAGTACACAAGATTCTGGGTTCGGCTCTGATCCCGACATGTCTCGTCGGCCTATCTTAGCAGCTGCAATAATCGGTTACCTAAAGGACATCGATGCAGTTCTTGGTTAGCATACTTCCAATGTTTAATCTTGCAAATGTTTATTGGGATGTTATAGGATTCTACTCGTTAATTTTAAGGTGGAGCCAGTAATTTTTCTCTGGAACCATGTTCATTACCGCCCTTGTTCGTCTCGAAATGGGTTGACTACACAAATCGACGTGGGTTTGGATGTCAATTGAGTGATGGGTCAATTTCCGTAAAGTTCAATGAAGGTCTATGTTTGAGCTGGCCGTGAGTCTCGTTTCTTGCACATATAATTATGAGTAGTATTTTTTAATTACTTATTTTCAATTGCTTTTTCCATGTGAATATTTACACGTAGCTTATTTGGTGCTTTAGAGATGTGAACTCTTAGGAGTGGTTTGGGTTTTTGAGAGGATACAGGAATTTTTTTATTGGAAGTGATCAGCAACTGGTTCTCATATATAGGTTGACAGAGTATTTGCGTCATAAAATTCCGAAGTTTAATGACTTTTGCCTTTTTTGGTTTTTTTTTCCGAAATAAGCTATAATTAAGCGGAAATTGGTGATGTAACTCAGATTGTTGGCTTTCGTCGACCATTCCAAGAGCTACAAATGAGCTTTATTCAAGTTCAGCTCTTAGATCTCTTGTTATGATCATTTGCTTAGAATTCGACTACTCATCGAGGTGCAGTACTATTGTGCAGCAAACGATCCTGGTTTCATCTCTGGAATTGTGGTGATTAGGTGGTTTGCCAACTTCAGCAACACGGTGGTCGTTGTTGATGACAAGTTCCGCTCTAGATACTTGTCTAAGTCACATTTTGAACGTGATTGACTCAAATTGCGGTCACTGTCATTAATGATCCAATTGGCGTTGAACCATGGGGTTTTGTTTTACTGTGTCAAACATGACTCCACTCCTTCGGCAAAGCCCAAAAGCTTTAACGATAACTATTCCACTTTTTGTCGTTACTGCAATGGGCACACTGACATGAGTGCATAACGTTTTGAAGATTGGCTCGCAGTGATCACAAACGTGAGAGGTAGATACTGCAGATCCATTCGTGGGCTCTATTGGCGTGACTCCGTGCGAGCTAAACAACGTGAGGCAAAAATTCCTTGGAAAACGTTATGGTCTTGATATGGTTGTATGTTCGCAGGCTTTCATTACTGTATTTGAGTTCAGAAGTTGTCTCATTTCCAACGTCTCTATCACCTCTGTGGTCTGCTGTAATCAAATGAACAGATGGAGCACTGTTTTTAGTTCTAGCGGCTACACAGTAAAATCGTTCTGTACCAGTATTGCAGAAAAGCACTAGTGAAGTTCGAATCCTACTTCCAAAAAGCTTATCTGTCTTGTCTAAAACATTCTGTATCACCAACCGCGCAACACTGATTGCTCTTTCTAGTCGCCACCTACTCAAGTCACTGCAATGTTATCTTTATAGCAATGAATTTATTCCAAAACGGGGTATAAAATGCGCATGTCCAAGGTTTTCTTTTTTCTGTTTTTGTTCAAGTCGAAGTCTCGTGACTTCTACACTAGTGGGAAGAATGAAATCGGTGTCGAGACCGCTGTAGTCTGTACCAAAAGGGCAACTCCCAATGATTGTATCTAGTTTTATTTCGAGTGTACATTGATTTTCTAGAATTATAGTTTTGTTACAGACTTCTATTGGCAACAAATATTTTCTAGTCATTTAAGTACGCACTTTTTCCCGAATCGTTGTACATGGTACCATGTGCACTAGCACAGATACACATGAATTTGACTTTGTATGCGCGAAGACTTAAAAGGCGCCTTCTGCTCCCCTTTTTTTCGCGAATTAGAGGAAAGAATCCCGTCTCTTGAGTTCTTCTACATCAAGTTCATGGTTTCATTTGGCTTGTGAATAATTTCGTTCTCTGTGCATCAGGATACTGTGATCGCGGTTGATGGACACGACCGGCTTGAAATCTCTCATGTGGGAATCTGACATATGGGAATTGTAGCACTGTAGTGCGTAGAATGTTAAATTGTGCATAAAATGTGTTCAGTTGGAATCTCGTCGCTCCTGAGGAGAGACATGCCTTTAAGGACTCTACTTTTTTATTCAGCAACATGTTTACTTAATACAGCTTAAGTGCAGTAAAAACAGTTCATCTAACTGAAACATTTCTTGGCATATACCTCCTTTCGTGCCTTATACGGGAAATGTTTTGCAGAGCAAACTCGTCAACAATTATCTATGCACAAACTCCCTTTTCTTCGCCGCATGCTGTTCATCCAGCTATGCTTCAAAACTCTGGTCTGAGACGATCTCACATTGAGGTTTCTTTCGTCTGTAACAGAGTTCCATTCCAGCGTTGATCTATTTAAAGACCGTTTATAGGTGGCTCGTCAATATCGAGAGTACATGGAACGGGAATTAGCTGATACAGATCTTCTCATGTCGCAGGTGTCTAGGAAAGCAGCACTCTCTTCTTCTCGTGGTCCACCTTATCTCGTGTTCACTCACCTTGGATCAGAATGTCTCATCATGATCTTCAGTGATGGGACTGTTCAGGTATGTCTTGATGAATCCATGTACTATTTTATGAGCTTTGAATCAATATCCTAACAGTTATAAGCTAAATATTTTCTGGGATTCTTAGAAGTGTTTGCTAAAGGATTATTCAACGAATCAATATTTATGTTGGACTTTGCTTCCAATCGTTACGAAGTTTCAGGGAGAATCTAGTCAAAAAGGAATATTTTTAGGTTAATTTGAAGAAGCGTCGTTCTAAAATTGTGCTTTGGAGCACTGACGGCAGTTCAGGTGATGACGATATTTCGAAATTCACATCTGTTGCAATAATTGAGCACGGTTTTGCTCCATTCGCTTTTCGTATCCGTCCAAAGCATATCTATGGTTTCGAACTGCCAAAGAGGTGAGCATACTTCTCATTCTTAAGTTTACTTTTAATTGCAAAGGACGCGTCTAGCGCAGTGTCCGGAGGTGCACTGCAATGAACCGGAATCGATTCCCGCGCCCGAGGCTCATCAAGCCTTCCATCACTCCGTGGTCGGCTAATTTGTACCAGAGCTGTTTGGGAGGATTGCAGCCATGGAAGGCCAGATATGTATTCAATCACCTCCAACGATTATTAGTGAAGTGAAATGCATGGAGTATTCCTTAGAGTTAAATCAACGCCGAGAGATTTATCCTTTATTTTTTTTCATTTATCTTTAATTACAATCTTCTACGGTTTTCTATATGCTTTTTTCAGCCTGGAGGATTGCTTGTTTGTTGTTCGCCGGGCACTAAACATGGAGTGCGATTTTTTGCATGTTTCTCGCCTACCAATGCAGTCTACTGAATGCTGAATATCGTAATAGCGGTGTTCTTAGGCCTCATCTTCTGGGTATTACGGAGCCTTTCTAATGTGCTCACCATTCGGTCTGTTGTTTTCTGGTAATGCGCACTCAAAACATTCTCGGGTTTCCGTCTTACTGTTTGCCATTAAACTTTTTCTACCTTATCCGGGTTGTTGAGAATGCCGTTTCCCACACTTATAGTGTTTGTATATACGTATTTTGTAAAATACGGGGCCATTTTTCCGTT